GGCCTTCTTATTGTTGTTCTTCATGGGTTGAATTTGTGTGCTAGTCTTGACCTTAAGAATATTGTTTTGGAGGTTAATTCTTTTTTTGATTTAAATTTTTTGCTTAATCTGGATGATGGTAACTTTTCTTACTCCTTATTTTACATTAGGAGGAGTATTAGAGATATCTTGGTCTCCCTTAACTGCTCGATCCTTTTCGACTATTTTGGAGGAGGCCAATGCTCCTACTCGGGCGTTGGCTAAGCTGGGCTATAATTGTGCTAATATTGCTGAGTTCTCTCTTAAGCAGTTGCCTGCCCCTATCAAAGGCATGGTTAATTTGGATTAAATGGGTTTATCATATGTTAAAGGTTAATTATTTTGGGAGCTGATTGTTGTTCTGCTTTTCTCGTTGCCTTGCGGGGGCTTTAAGAGGCTTGTGGTTTTTTGTTCTTTCTTATTTTATAGTTTGTGATGATGCTTGTCGGAGGTTCTCTCTGGTTTCTCGGGTGGTGGCTCTGTTTTCTGGGTGATTTGTTGTGGCATTATTTGGGTTTGCTGTTGTTGTGTGGGGGAACTGGTACTTCCGTGGCTTGTATGGCTGTGATTGGTTCGGTGTTGCTTACTGGTATTCAGCTGCTGATTAGTGAGTGTGGTGTGTATTTAGTTTTGCTGCAGGTTCTTTTCGATTACTATTTTTCCTGGAGCAGGGCAAGATGTATCATGCTCGGCTGTATCCTTTTTGGAACATCTTAATCTTTTGTTTAGTATTGTCAATTGCTATATTTTCGATTTGCATTTTCTTGTCTATATTTTGGTTGTGCAGGCTCCTTTTTGGGTGTTTGATTGGAAGATTTTTGTGGAGACCTGCAGCTGGGAGCATTTTGTTTGGTTTTTGTTTACTCCCTTTTTTTTGGGTGCTTTTCATTAAGTACCGTAGCATGTTCCTAGGTTGTTTTTGTATTGAGCTATAGTGGGGAACTCGAGCTCATAGGTTTTCTTTCATCTTGATTTTGTAGCTCTTTGAGCGGTAGTGAGTTTGAGTTCCTCTTAAGGATCTTGTAATTTTTCCCTTATATTAACGCATAGGCCCCTCTAGTGGGGTTTCTATATATATAAAAAAAACACAATAAATAATAAATGCAATAACAACATAACGGCATAAGTGTTATAAAACCAGAAATAACTGAACAACAACTCAACAACAATTCGAACATAACTAACCCCAAACCAAAATGCATGCCAAGCTAGAAAAGCACTGAATGAATCAAACTAGAATGCTTGCCAAACCACTAAACTAGAGTTACACACTAATGTATGTCAAATTTTTTCAGTTTTTTAAACTACCCGAGACAATATTCAAGATAATAACAAGTCAACAATACAACAACAAATCAAACAAACCCTAAACCCAAAAAATTCACTCAAAACTTCAAAAAATTCCTTCGGCATATATGAAATACCAAAAGATGCTTATAGATTAAGCTTCTAAAAGGAGAAAATAAAATAAAAAAGATAAGAGATACAAACAACGATGATCGATGTAAGTGTTCGTGGTAAGCCAAAGGATATGTATACGGTGAACACCCTGGACCAACACTATGCCAGAGAATGATAAGAGAGGAAACCAAAGATAGAGCCAGAGATCTAATGAGATCCAAAGAGATAAAATGGAAATCATAGACGAAGCAGCAAAGGAGATGAGTGTTGCAAATCTGGATTCAAATACTGTGATTTTGATGATAACAAATATTATTATTTCTTTACCACTACTATTATTACATATCTATTTTGTTTGCCCTGCTCACTACCTTTCAGGTCCAGAAAGATCACTTACAATGTAAATCAGCTAAAGATCAGGTAGATTATGATTAAGTCTGCTTGTAATTTCATTTCAATGTACTTTTACCTTTCTTGAGTCAAATCTTGAATATGGTGGACCCCAAGCTAATTAACCTTACACACACATATTCAGGTGGAGAAATTTGGTGAGTTAGAGAATTTTTCTATTTTGACCTAATCGTATAGGACAATTTGAAATCGTATTGGATGATAAGTTAAAAACATAAACCCTGATTAGGGCATCCTTGCTAATTATAAGTTATTAAACTAATCATACTAGACGATCCATATCATCTAGGACAATCAGCTTAGATGATGAAAAATAGCAAACAATTATAATTTAGGTAATATTTTGATTTTTAATTTTTTTTTTAAAATCATACAGGACGATATACATTATCCTGGACGATTTATAACAATCATGCCTTAATTGATCCAATGATTAGGGGAGTAATTATGTTTAAATTATTCAATCATATCATACAGGATGATTCCATTTGGATCGTACTGGATGATCTAGTATATTTTGTAGGATGATCCCTTATCATCCAAGAAAAAATCCATAATTTTCCTCTAATCGTCCAAGAGAATCGTACTTGACTTTTTGAGACATTTGCGGGACGATATGGAGATCTCCACCCATCGTCCAATGTCATACTGGACGATCAATATAGTATCTTTAACTAATCGTCCTGGATAATCACAGGATCATACTGGAAGATTTGTATAAATACTTGTACTGACCGTACAAAGCAACATTGATCGTCCTAGTACTAATTGTATAGGATGATCTATCGATTATCTTGGATTATCAGTTGCACAGAATTAAAAATCAGGGCTTCTTTCGGAGGCTTTGTATTTAAGCAATTGTATTAACCCTAGAGTTAATCTTTTTGCTGTGGAGTTGATCCATAAAACCGCCGGTAATCCATAAAACCGCCAGTTAATCTATAGTAACCGCCGGAAAAAAACCGCTGGATTTTGACATTTTTCCTGTAGTGTGATCCAAAAGAGAGCTTAAAGAAGGAAGAGGGAGGTCTAAAGAGAGAGAGAGAGAGAGAGAGAGAGAGAGAGAGAGA